CCTGAGACCATTGTAGTATACTGGAAAGCGCATGCGGTATCACAATAATTAATTAACTCAACCGTTGTGATAAATTTATAGGTCTCATATTCGATTATCAACATCGACAATTTAGAATATAAATTACAATTCATCACGGTTACTATAGATAACCATCGTGGAAAATACACATAGTTTATTATATTATACAAGATTGTTTGGTTTTTCATACATCTTCTTAAAGAAACACAAGCATTCAAATTGATGAAGAAATATATAATATAAAAAATAAACTATTCTTAAAAACCAACTTAAACCAACCACTGTTTTCCGAATTGCATGTCTCTCATAATTCATTTCCTATTCTTTAACACATAAAGTGTGGTTCAATGGTATAATTCCTTCATTGCATCGATTATAGTTTAATTTGAAACATATACAATTCTGATAACATCGATTGATATAGGTTGGTTTTCAAATACATCTTAATTTTCAGATTATAAGTTTCTATGTTAATTTAAATGAATGTATTTTCATTAAAAGATTAGTGAAACAAACAATCTACATATCATATAATAAACTAAACTTCATCTACTGTTAACCTGTAAAAGAATTTAAAGAATAAAATATTGTTAAGTTACAAGAAGTCTCTTTCTTGTAACTTAACAATGTTTTGTTCTTATTTTGAGAATATTTGTCAACAACAACAACACAACAAATACATGCAACAAAATAAAAAACATACATTTTAGCCACAAAACAGTATCAACATACAATATCACAAGATATATTAAATTGTTTCAAGAACGCACCTTTTATTGAAAATAATCTTGAAACTGTAATAAATTATAAAATTCATCTAGTTTGTGATGCTATGAAAGAGAAATACAAGGTGGATGAAGTATCCACAATAACTTCATACTTCTTGCATTTTTTTCCATAGCAAACAAATCATATGTACCATAGACAAAGTATGCTCTTTATTAAGGTGGTGAAGACAAATCTAAAAAAAATGAAAATATTCAACACCTTATCAACTCATACTATAAGCTTGCTACCACCATCATCACCATGTATCATCCCCTTAACCATCCAATACTATAATCTGCAAGGAAACACAAAAAACATCAACCATGAGCATCATTACAATACAACTAACAACCATAACATCACATTGTTACACACCCACATACGTACATGGCCAAATAGATTTAAAAACAAATTCAATTTGAAAAACGAACTCACAAAAACAAATTCAATCAAAATAGGTTCTCACACGCTTCAACTTTCTACACGTACAAACAAACTCTATAAAGCAACCTACTGACTCATTGGAATGAATCTACTATTTTCTTATTGTTACGTTGTTGAAGTTGAAACCAAAACCTTAAATCATAATCCTAACTTCTAAGCATCAACAACATCCAAAAGAAAAATAGAAAGAAGAGAAAAAGTGAAGAGTAAAGAGAGATCGAAAGAGAGAGCAGAAGAACATATCATCTTCATCACCGTCAGAGTTTACGCCAGACGTTGCTCTGACCAAGTATCCTTTAAGCTTCCTTTAAGAGTTTTCTGTTTAGGGGTAGTGGTAACCGGAGAAAACTGATGCACGTAAATTGATGATATGTTAGGGTTTTCTTTAGTGAGAAATGACTATTATGAACTGAGCGACATATAATTTTGTTTATATATAAAAAAATATCACTTTACATGACGATTGACAAGGCCAACCGTGGTGATACATTATTTTAAATAAAAAACAAAATATATCAAAACGCTTGAACAAAACAACCGTAGTGATATATTTTTTATTTTTTATTTAAAAAAAAAAGGCGCATCTTAACGTTATAGGAATAAAATATTTGAGGGCGCTGAGGTTCAAACCCATACAAGATTGATTGTATCACCACAGTGAGTACACTAACCATTATTATATCCTAACAATTTTTATTTTAAAATAAAATAAAATTTTAGCGCCTTAATTTGTAAATGTCACCACGGTGTTTGAAAGAAATGTGATGACTTGGACGTTGTTGTATGCGCATTTTATAGTAGTGATAACTTAATTTTTTCCCCCTCTGAACGTTCAAATTTAAAGATACATCTAATTAATATTACACAAGGTACAATAATACATATTTTTTGTGATAAAAGATATAACATTGTGCGCGATAAGAACTGCTATGAGTACAAATCATAAAATAGACTACTTCTAATACTATAAAGATATCAATGACTCTTATTAAAAGATCAAGATCAAAGCAGGAATTAGAAAAAAATAAGCTATTTAAATATTCAACTTTTGATTGTTTTATTTATACATTGAATGACACTACACATCATTAAAACAAATTTATGAATAAAATTTTGTGAATCAACTTAAGAAAATAAAAATAAATTTCAAAGAAAGAACATTTAGAGAAGAATACTGAAAGAAAGAAAGAGGCAAGAAAGTGATTTTATTCCATAAGTTTTTTATTGAAAGATTCAAATACTTGTATTTGTACTTAGAACTATTTACATTCTCTTTTGGATGATATTTGTAAACACCCTATCAATTATTTGTTTAATGATTGTGTTACTTCAAAGGGTTAAGTGTTAGCCAGATTCTTTAAGACAACTGAAATATCTAGTCGAGATCAGATCATTGTGTTTGAAATCTAAGATATATGTCAGTTGGAAAAGAAAATATCTTAGTGATATTGTATCTATTTGATTATAGTGATAATCTCTATGTGTGAGGGTTGGACTTAGCTTCGAGTTAAGGGGTGAATCATGATAAATTTGTGTAATAATCCTTCTTCCCTTCTCTACTTATCACTCATCATTTATGATTGACTTGATTTTCATTTGAAAAAAACCTGAAAAGAGTTTTAATCAGTCAACACAATTTAAACCCCTATTTCTTATGTTTTTCTCATCTTTAGCTGACATAAGAGTTTCACTCTCTTATTTAAACAATTAAAAATGTAAGAGTAAAACATATTTGAGAAAAACAAAACTGATCATTCAAATGTTAATGATGAAGGAACCATCACTTATTACTCAATCAAATCTCCTATATTTGATGATAAATATTTGAATAATGTAAAGATAAACTATATAGTTTCTTTATCTCATAAGATGTAGAACTATAGAATTTAGTAAGAAACATTAAGAGCATCCTAAAAACGTAGAAGGAAAACATATCAATCTTTTTTGCTATGGATGATGCTTACAAGAAGGCATACAAGCTACATCATAAAGTCATGAGCTTTTTTGTAAATGTTATTTTCTTTAAAGAGTATGATAAATTCACCAATATTGAATCAACAAATACTATAATGATTTGTCATGTCTTAATTATAAAGTAAATAGGAAAGTGAAATAATCCAAAACAAATGCTTTAATAAAGAAGTATGAGTTATTCAAAATGAAAGAAGATGAAAATGTGGAGACCATGTTCCCTCGATTTCAAATTTTATTCTCTAGACTCAAAATTTTGAACAAAAAATATACTATTGTAGATCATGTCAAGAAAACTCTTGGGACTCTGCCAAATAAATGGAGACCAAAGGTAAATAATATTGAAGAAGAAACGTATCGAAATACCTTAGCTCTTGAAGATATCATAACTTATCTCCGAAGTCATGAGATATATCTGGATGAAGATGAACCTTAGAGGAAGCCAAAGTCTATTGTTTTAAAGTCTAAAATCAAGAAGATCAAGGCTTTGCAAGTAGAAAAATAAAAATATGAATATCCCGAAGAAGCATTAAAAGATGATGAACTTTCCATGTTTCCAGACAAGTGATTGCTTATAGGTCAGAAGGAAGAAAAAATTCCCTAACAAAAATTCAAGTATTCAAAGGATCCAAGAGACAAGAAGGAAGTTATCAAAAGTTAATTTATTATGAATATACGCAACCTATATATTTCATACATGAATTTTCCAAGTTGGAGAAAGAGAGATCCAAAAAAAATCGATCTATAGAAAATAAGAAAGAACTCATGTGCACATGAGATTAATTTGATGAATCCTTTGGTGAATAAGAGAAACATTTAAATTGGTTAACAACATTACATGTCTAATTTTTTATTGGTTTATCAGATGACTTCAGAATAGCATCAAATTTCATTTTTTGTTTAAAATAACCAAGACTTCATCTATTTGATCTTGTTTATAAGATTATTCTTCAATTTGTAGGCGAGGAATGAGACTCGAATGAAAATTCGGAGTCTATAATAAACTTATTAACATATCAAAGTCTAGAATGCCAAACATTAAAATCAATCAAATAGTACATCGAAGGATACATTTTATTCATTTCAAAATTCAACTTAAATATGCCATCAGTGACAAACCAATTCCCAACAAAAATACCATTCTTAGTGATGGTGTATAAATATGCCCTTATAAATTGGCTAAATCATCCCTTATTCAGAAGAAATATAGAAACAAGATTCTTCTAATCTTAGGGACACGAATGAGATCTTTCAGAATCAAAGTATTTTCAATGGTGAACTTCAACTCCACATCTTCAATATAGTAACACCAGCAATCCGAGCATCTCCAAACAACACTTTCTCATCATCAGCATTCATGCATCCGGTTGTTGGGCGTGAGCCACATCCACAATCTTCTCCAGATTCAGGCTCTCTATGTAACACTTTTTGACAATCTCTTGATCTCTCTGGATAACCCTAACTCGCCCATCAAGGAAAGGGTATTTCATGCATAGATACAATGTATATGGGGAAGATCCTCGCTGATTGAAAGCATGCCACCCTATAATCATATTTTTCGAAGAATGTGCATTTATAACCAAATATCTTACTTTGACCAGCCTTGCATTCTCCTCAGATCCAAACATGGTCTTCAGGGTAATATAAACCTTTAGCTGCACTTGCTTTCCTGAGAACCCCACCGACGAAATTTGAAAAACTTTGAGATCACCCTAATCATGGTGAATTCTTCCAAAAGCGTCCCAATAAAGGATATCTGCAAAACTTCCTTGATCAATCAACACTCTTTTAATCTCTCAATCATCACACCTTACCGTCATGGCCATAGGGCCATTATCATATGGATGAATGCCTGATGCGTCCCTCTTAGAGAAGGTGATCTCAGATTCCAAACCTCCCATGTTGCCAGAGTCAGGATTCATGGGTGAGCACATCTCCTATAGTAGAAGATCAAGTTAATATCCGCAAGTTTGTTATAGTATAACCCTTTAGTAAAATTTATTCTCAAGAAGAATAACTTAGTTGTCTTTCATCTCAACATTCAAATTTGAGAGATAACTAAGTAATAGTACATAAGGTATAATAGTACGAGCTTTTTTTAACAAAAGGTACAACGTCGTGTTCAACTAGACGTACTACAAATACAAAAGATGTAAAATAGTCTAATCAAATAATACAAAGATAACAACGACTCATTTATCTAAAAATCAAGATCAAAGCAACAATCTACAAAAAAAAAGTATCTATTTAAAGACTCAACTTCTAATAATTTTATTCATCACATTACACATCATTAAACAACTTTGCAAATGAACTTTTGAGAATTAACTTGAAAAATTAAAATAACTTTTTAAAAAAGAACATTTAGAGAACAAGCTCTACTCCATGTGTGTTAATCTTTCTCCCCTTATCTCTTTATCATCATCATTTGCAATTGAATTGAGTTTTATTTGAAACAAACCTAATTTTTTTAATCAGTAAATACAAAATTTCTGAATTATAAGAATTTTTTCTCAAAATGCCACACCCCTGAAACTAAAAGCCCAAAATGCCACGTCCTGAAAAATAATTCTCAAAATGACACACCCAGGAGGGGTTCACGCCATTTGAGATGGCGCGAAGGTGAGCTGGAAGGGCTCACGCCATTTCAAATGGCGTGAAGGGGTTTTATATTTTTTTTCTTCGTTTTTCTGAATTTTTAATTATTTATTTTAATAACTTTTATTATTTAATATTTATATTAATTAAGAAAATACTTTTTATTAAATAAACTTTATTATATAATGTTTATATTAATTACAAATACTTTTTATTAAATAAAATGTATTATTTAATGTTTATATTAATTACAAATACTTTTTATTAAATAAATTTTATTATTTTTATGTTTATACCTTTAACAATTAAATATGAAAATAAATAAAATATTTAACAATTACAAAATGATAATAAATTTTTTTTATTAAATAAATAAAATATGCCAATTACAATCAAAATGCAAAATAAAATAAAACTAGTTAGAAGGGCCTGCATTGTTGAGGCGATGCGGACATTTTTTCCGCATATGAGGTTGTTGACAGATACCGCATCGTCTTTTTATTTTTTCAACAGTGTCCATTTCAGTTCTAATGCGAGTACTGTTTGGGCGACCTTTTTTGTTTCGTCACATCCTTTCATCATGCATAAGAGTATCGCCCAAATATGGAGGCCAACTATCTTCTTGGGGAACACCGAGGAAACTTTGTATGTAAACTTTGAAGACGTTTATAACTCTATACAAGTCAGGAATAAACGTAGTATAATCGTTGTTAATGTGAGAACACGCTGCGATAGCATGTGAGCAAGGCAGATGAAAAGTTTGAAATCTCCCACAGTCACAAGTTCTTGTTTGGAGGTTGACGTTGAAATGGGTAAGTGGTCGACAATTCCTATTATTAACCGTCTCTTGAACCACGAAATAATGACTTTCACGGTCAAAAGCCAAGACATTATAACTGTGGGATTTTTCTACTTCTTCTGCAATTCCTTTCATGCAGTTATCTGTGAACTCCTTTCCCGATGACAAATTTTTGGTCCAATCCTCTACTCGCTTACCCCACAATGTTCCCATCCTGTAGTATGTTGATCTTACAAGTGATGTAATAGGTAGGTTTCAGGTTTCCTTCAAAACTGAGTTCAAAGATTCAGCTAGGTTGGTTGTCATGTGACCCCATCGTGCTCCTCCGTCGTAAGCTCGCGACCATTTTTCTCTTGGAAGGTTCTCTATCCAATTAAAAGCCTCTGTGTTTGTTTGGCGGATCTCCTCCCGATAATATGTGTATGTAGACTCATTAATTGCATATCCTTCATAAAAGCATTAAAACATTAATATAAAAGAACTATATATTGAAATGCCGTGTTAAAAATTAGAGAGTAATTACCCATGTTAACAACTGTCTTGCGAAGGTTTTTGTCCTTGATGGCTCGCATGAAGTTTTGTGCGATGTGCCTAATGCAATACACATGCACCGAGGGTGGGTTCTGCCATCCATTATCCGGGTTATTGTAGGCACTCCTAATGGACTCGTGTCGGTCAGATATCAAACATAAGTTTGATTGGGGTGTGACGTGGAGTCTCAAATTTTTCAGAAAGAAACTCCAAGCTCCTCCGGTCTCACCTTCGACCAATGCATATGCGATTGGGAAAATGTTACCATTCCCATCTTGTGCAACAGCCAGGAGCAATGTTCCCCTATATTTTCCATACAGCCATGTACCATCTACCTGCACTATAGGTTTACAATGTGCGAAACCCCTAATACAAGGTTGAAATGCCCAAAAAAGGCGATGGAAAATTCTTGCACCACCAATTTGTGTTCCTTCATTTGAATATACAGGAAGTGTTTCAAGATCTATGATGGTACCTGGGAGAAATTGTTGCATGACTAGCAACCACTGCGGAAGATTGTTGTAAGAGGCCTCCCAATTACCATAAATATCTTCGATTGCTTTGTTCTTTGCAATCCATGCCTTTTTGTAAGACACGGTGTAGCCATAAGTCGTACGAATATGAGCAATAATATGTCTAACCTTGATTGCCGCGTCGCTGTCAACAAGAGGTCTGATGCTATGGGCGATCATCTTTGAGGTAAGCTTTTTGTGATCTTGAGATATAGCAGTCGACATGCAAGTGTGTGGCCCTCCAATTCTGCCAATAACCCATTTACCACACCCCTCCCTTAACGAAGCCCTACATGTGAAGTTGCATTCCTCCTTTTTACATTTAATTAAATATCGTGTCAGATCAGACTTACAAACCTTAAATGTATGAGAATTTTTTATGTGATACTCAGATATTGCAAGGAGACATGCTTCTTTGTTTTCAAAAGTCATACCAACCTTTAAGTCATCACATGACTCACGTTCGTGTACGGATTCGAAGACTGAAATTGGTTCCACACATTCAAATGAAACGTTTCTCAAGTGATAGGGTGGGTTATACAGATCAAGTATAGGAGCCGGTTCTGCCTCCAGCCTATCATCGTCACCTGACTCATCACTGGATCCACTAAACAAATTAATTTGTCTAGCATCGTCGGAGTCAGTATCATCACCCACTTCCTCTTCCGGAAATATTGGCTCGTTATGTTGTACTTCGACAGACTCTTCTTGTTGGGATACCTGACTTTGTTGATATGCATGAGTTTGTGATGATTGTGTTGGAAATACTTCATGCATTTGTTGAAAACAAATATACAACTCCATTTCTTGTTGACTGCAAAACCTTGAGTGACATTAAAGCATTGAACGGAAATCTTCATCGTCTTCGATTTTTGCAGTGTTGTATGTGACATTGTGATCAACTGGATTAACTATTGGAAATCGATAAAAAATAGAAGCTACATGTTGTCGTAAAGTTTCTTCTATTTTTTCCGTCAACTGAGCTAAATCACTATTTCGATGAATTTTTAAAATATTTGTATCTGTATTTTGAAATACCACTCCAATAATTTCATCGGTAAAAATATTACCGTTGAAATGTAACAGACAAGAAATATGATTTTGTGGCATTGTGTTAAATTGTAAAATATGTGATAGTTTGGTTTGTTGAATACACTATGTTGAATTGTAAAATGCATGTATTAAATAACAAACAGCAAAAGCGTTGGATTTCATGCATGCACACTAGCGCCATTTCAAATGGCGTGATGGCCATAAAGGCGCCATTTCAAATGGCGTGAAGCCCATAAAGGCGCCATTTCAAATGGCGTGAAGGCTATGTTTGCTCCATATGAAATGGCGTGAAGCCCCTAGTTGCGCCAAGTCAAATGGCGTGAAACCTAGGGTTGCTCCATTTCAAATGGCGTGAAGGCTATGTGTCTGGCGTGAAGTCATATGTTGCATGCATATAAGAGCTACAATAAACGATAATGTTATCAGATTAAAATGAGTCTGATACTCTGCTCAGTATACATTATTCCGTATAATTCACAGGTTGTTATGTTTGAGTATAGAAATGCATTTTCTAATCCTTTGGTTGTGCGGCTTATGGAAAGATCTAAACTAATTCATTTGAAAAATCAATTACGTCAAGTCACAAATATTAATAGGAGCATCACAGAGATCTCTTTCAACCGAACTACCATCAACGAAAATGGTGTCTTGATGCAGCATATTACACAGTTAGTTACAAATACAGATGTATTTAATATGTTTGAGGATTTTCGAACTGGTGTTAATAAAACACCTTTTGAGTTGTATGTCAGATTCAGTAGATCAGCGGATGAGGTTTTATCATTGTGTACAAAACCGTGTAATTTACAATATTCGCAATAAATTACAAATTTATATTTATCCAACTTTCATTAAATTATTCTACTACCTACCAACTCTAATTAAATAACTTTACTACCTATTAACCATAATTAATTAAATTATTCAACTACCAACCAACCACACTCACCTCTTTTTTCCTATAAATACCCAATCACTCTCACCTCATTTCTCCACAAACACACTTCATTCTATTCACACTCTCTACTCTCTTTTGATAAGTTTTCTCTTCTCTCTCTTTTCACAAGTCTTGTTCTTCATTTTCACAGTTATGGCCAATATGTTTTGGTATGGTACACAACATAGGGGAACGGTAGAAAATATCAATGCTGTAAGTTTTTTTGATTTATTCAACTTTATTCGTATTATTTATTTTTGAGTTTACAATAGTAGTTTTATTCATAATTTGCATAGAAATAATGAATATTTTTCTATATTATTTATTTCTATTACATATTGATGATAATTATATTTCAAAATGGAGAATCCGTGCTCACAAACCTCTGAAGCCACATGGAGCCATAATCCCGTACCTTCATCAATCTGGGTTCTACCATGTTTCTACAATAGGGTCAACACATATCGATTCAAGGTTAGTTATAGCCTTACTGGAACGGTGGAGACCCGAAACTCATACATTTCATCTTCCAAACGGTGAATGCACAATCACGTTGGAAGATGTGAGTATGTTACTGGGTCTTCCTGTTGATGGAAAAGCGGTAAATGGTCAATCTGAGCTGGGTGATGGTGCATGGAGTTCTATTTTAGGGGATGAACCGCCACAAAGTGATAAAGGAATGACGGCGAGGTTGACATGGCTTAAAGACATATACCAACATGAACCACCAACCGAGGAGTCACCCGAGGAGTATAAAATTAAACATGCTCGTATTTATATTTTACTCCTTATCGGGCAAGTTTTGTTTCCCAACAAAAGCGGAAACACTATACACTCAAAATGGACACAATTTGTTGTTGATTTAGAAGATTGTGGAAAATTTAGTTGGGGTTCCGCCGTTTTAGCGAATCTATATAGGGAAATGTGCAAGGCGGTAGACATAAAAGTAACAGAGCTGTCAGGATGCGTTTTACTTCTTCAAGCTTGAGCTTTTACACGCATGCCTATAATATCTCCGGTGGCTCCGCTTCAATCTCCATATCCATACGCAAGAAGGTAATATTTTATTTTAAATTTAAAATTATAATTAATATTGTTAGGATACTCTAAAATAAAATTTTATTTTGAATTCTTTTTAGATGGTTGATCAAGAAACTTGACTACCAAAACAACCCGCGCCACCATCTTCAAGGATACCGATTCAGGATTGATCACATGCTTGAAGATCAGGTTTTTTTGTCTTCACCTTAATATCTCTTATAAATTTTTGAATTTTATTTTGGTTAAACTAAAATATTTTATCTACAACTTCTCAGTTTATTTGGAGGCCGTATCTTGGATTAGCGCCCCAAAGGCACGAGGACAGCTTGATATGGAGTTCAACTACGTATATGATATGCTTTCATATTGTAGAAATGCATCAAGCTGATAGGGTCAAACTACAATTTGGCCATTTACAAGGGATACCTGAAGAAGCTCGATGCTTGGCTGAACACCATAAAATGACAACATTAAAAGCGCGTCGACATGCATATACCACATTATACTCTGATGAACAAAATTGTTGGTTGCATCGAGAATTGTTTACGTTGGATGGAGATCAACTACAAACAGAGGAGAAACCGTCAAAAGAGTACATGCAATGGTATCACTCACTTCCACATAGATATGCATCGTACGAACAATTTCTCACTGACCCTCGCCAAAATCAATATGCCTCTACTCAGGCAAGTGGCTCTCAACAAACTCACCACTCACAACATTCTCAGCCTCCCCAACCCCAATCCTTCCAACAACAAACTCCTCACTTTTCCCAACATCAAACACCCATCCCCCATTATCCTGAACAACAAACTTTTAACCCACATTTATCTCAACTACAAACTCCTGCCCCTTATTTTTATCAAAATCAAACCTTTAACACCCAATACCCTCAATCTCACTCCCAACCAAATTACATTTATGAATCCCAACAACCACAATTTTATAATAGGCCAACCACACAATTCACACCCATCATGCGACCAAACTTTGATTCCTCCTCCTCCCAACATAACCCGCCATATTTTCCAACCATGTGTCCCCCACAACAGCCGCAATATAATTTGGGCGAGGATCTTAATGTCAGTGATTATGATTTACTGCAAAGTATTTGGTCTCCTCCACAAGCTACCGCTCCTACTCAAGATAATCCTCCAACATCAGATGCAACACAACAAAATCCTCCGACAACAGAGACCGAAGAACAATATGGTTTTGGTCATCGTGCTCCGCGACCGCGTCATTGTTTTACCGATACTCGTTTAGGACCGGATCATCAGCATTAAATAGTATAATTGTGAATGTTTAACAGTTTTATTTTATTTTGCATTTTGATTGTAATTGGCATATTTTATTTATTTAATAAAAAAAATTTATTATCATTTTGTAATTGTTAAATATTTTATTTATTTTCATATTTAATTGTTAAAGGTATAAACATAAAAATAATAAAATTTATTTAATAAAAAGTATTTGTAATTAATATAAACATTAAATAATACATTTTATTTAATAAAAAGTATTTGTAATTAATATAAACATTATATAATAAAGTTTATTTAATAAAAAGTATTTTCTTAATTAATATAAATATTAAATAATAAAAGTTATTAAAATAAATAATTAAAAATTCAGAAAAACGAAAAAAAATAATATAAAACCCCTTCACGCCATTTGAAATGGCGTAAGCCCTTCCAGCTCACCTTCACGCCATCTCAAATGGCGTGAACCCCTCCTGGGTGTGACATTTTGAGAATTATTTTTCAGGACGTGGCATTTTGAACTTTTAGTTTCAGGGGTGTGGCATTTTGAGAAAAAATTCGAATTATAATAATTCAATCTATGATGTCATATATAAAGTTTTTCGGTAATTATAATAATTGAACGTACGATTAATTTGTGTAATAGCATTTCACTTTACCACTTCGATACCCAACATTTAATACCATGCATAAAGTTAGACACTTCCTCCCAACCAGAATAAACCAAGGTTCCTCCCCCTCCACATTCTCTACACCAATCAATTTCCTGTTACCATGTGAACACAGACAAATATAAGTACATCCCAAAAATAGAAACCATATCGTGAAAGTTTACCTGAATTCCCCTCGTATACACCAATGAATCTATCTACTACTAGTATTCCATCTACATTGTAAACAACATTAAACAAGTCAAATACGATATTTCATCAACTTAGAATCCTCAATAATGTCACAGCCTGTGACGTCGCCGTATATTATGGAGGAACGGTCATTGTCACTATATTACGTTCTTATAAGGTGGCTATCACTGTTTTTATTTTTGTTTTCCATAAATAATAACATTCTTGGAATTCCAAACGTTTGTGAAAATTTTGTTATTTTTAGGTTTTTAGGTTGTTGTGTGTTTTAAGTGTAGCGGATACAAATATCCTTTCTAAGACTAAAGACAAATCACGCGTTTAATTTACTATAGGCCAAGTGATGTGATGTTTTTGTTTTTGTCCTTTCTCTTTTATTGTTCAACTGTGTTAATTTGATTCTCTGTGGTTAGTTGGATTTTTGGATGTGTTAGGAAGAAATATGTTTGTGGAAAATGATTAAGGGTAGGGTTTCGAATTTATTACCATGGCGTGATGTGAGTTATTAGGAGGAAATCAAATGAGGTGAAAGTATGAAGCAGCTTCTAGACTTTCATATCACTATTAGATGAATTTTTAAGTAGTATTATAAAATGTAGATTTATATTTTGTTTATTATAAAAA